CAGAGCCTGGAGCCTGTTTCCGATTCTGTGTCTCCCTCTCTCTCTGCCCCTCCCCCGTTCATGCTCTGTCTCTCTCTGTCCCAAAAATAAATAAACGTTGAAAAAAAAAATTAAAAAAAAAAAATAAAAAAATAAAAACTAAATGCACATGTATTCAGCATGTTATCATGGTATACATTAAGAACATTTTCAGAAGCTTAATCTATAAACCTTATAAATAAGTAAGTACATTTTGCTCTTACTCTGAAGGTTGCTTGTATGAGAAAGAAAATTAAATTAAGATGCATGGTATATAAGAAACATAATTAACTAAAATTTATTTCTTATCAACAGTTAAGGCTCCTTACAGAGTATATGTGTTATTTTATGCCATTCTTTTTTTTTTTTTTTTTTTAAAGATACTTTAACGTTTATTTATTTTTGGGACAGAGAGAGACAGAGCATGAACGGGCGAGGGGCAGAGAGAGAGGGAGACACAGAATCTGAAACAGGCTCCAGGCTCTGAGCCATCAGCCCAGAGCCCGATGCGGGGCTCGAACTCACGGACCGTGAGATCATGACCTGGTTGAAGTCGGACGCTTAACCGACTGCGCCACCCAGGCGCCCCTATTTTATGCCATTTTTAATGTTCCTAATCAATATATTGTTTATTGGACAAAAACATTACTCAATAAATATCCCTTAAAGAGAAGAGAGACTTTGAATATTCAGTCTAAAGAATAACTGTTCAAGAGAAGGACCTCACATATCAATATCACCCGATTATGGTATAATCTAGTATGAGGTACATAAGGTCTAATCCTAAACGATACTGCATTGAAGAGGTAGTGCTAATTCTTTGTGTTACTCGAATGTTGATAGACAAAGTAAGAGTTGGGTTTTTTTTTAAATTTATTTAAAAATCTTTAAATTGTTCTTAGGTTTAGGATCCAGATTAAAAGAAAACTTTGAGATATTAAATGACAGATTCTTTCAAATTATCACATATGTAATTCAGAAAACATCGCGTAAGTCATCACTTAGGACTCTACATAACTCAGTCAGCAAACTGAAGAAGAAAAAGCTCTGGTTATTTTTCAAAGACTCCATCAATTAGGCAGTTATTAGGTGTCTATGTATGTTCACCTGATATTTAGTGCTGTGGAGGTTATATTGATTGATACAAGCATACTTCTTATACTTAAAAGTCTTTTATGAAACACTTAATGAACATTCCTATGGCAGGACAGTCCCATACTGTGAGTGGATCAATCACATTTTATGTTGGTTACTTGCAACTTGGAGCTGCTTTTCCAGTGGAAACATTAGATGCCATGGTTTGAGTCTCACACTTGCTTGCAAAGGATTCTCTATGTGCTGATGACTTTCATTTGCATCTTTACCCTGATTTTTTCCTCCAAGCTCAAGTGTTGAGATGCTGAATTCCCTACTTGAATATTTGTCAGGCATCCCACATTAAAAATGCCTGAGATTGACTCTCTTATTTTTTCCCATCTATATCAAACTGGATTCTTCCCATTTTTATACTTCCCAGTGAATGGCATCACCGTCTACCCCCGTAACCTAGAAACCTGCACATAACCTTTAAATCATTTCTTTTTCCTTACCTCTCATGTCTGATCTACTGGCAAGTCCTACAAATTTTCATCCAAAACTGTATCACAAATTCACTTGCTTTTTTCCGTCTCCACTGCTGGCATCTTAGTCCTGTTCCTCAGACTCAGGGGCACTATTGACATTTCAGGCAGGACACTTTCCAATTGTAGAGGGGATCCCACACATTGCAGAGCACGTGGCATCCTTTTCACCTGGCCTTGCTGAAACCCCGGTGATTGTGAAACCAGAAAGGGAAGTCAGTGCGTCCTGGTCCAGCAGCACGTGGGCCTGGTCCAAGCCTCTGCTATGTCTTGCTCAAACTGTCAGAGCAGCATCGTCTCTCAGTTGGTCTCCTTCTGCCTTTGCCCGCTCCAGCCCATTCTCTACGCAGCTGACTGGGTGATCGCTGCCTCACTTAAACACCTTCCAGGAGTTTCCCCTTAAACTGTCGTGCCCGTGTCGCGCCCGCAACCTTGTCTGCTGCCACGCATCCCCCTGCTCGCTGTGTTCCAGCCACCCCAGCCTTCGGGCAGTTCTTGGACACTCGTTCTTCTTCTCCGTGGGCTTTCTTGCGTCTTCTTCCCTCTGCCTGATTCCACCAGCCTGGCTCCCTCACGTCTCTGTTCAAATGGTACTTCATCAGGAGGCCTTCCTAATCCCTCGATTTTCTGCTACAGCACCAGGCGTGTGCACATTGCAATTTGTACTTGTCTGAGTTGTGTTCTGTCTTTTCTAAAAATCGTCTTTATTGGGTAGAACTCACGTAGCATCAAATGAACCCATCCAAGATATACAATCCATGGTTTTAGTATATTCACGGAGTTATGCAGCTGTCACCATGGTCAATTTTATGACATTTTCATTACCCCTGCCCCCAGTAGCCCCATTTCCATTAGCAGGCACCCCCCCCAACTCAACGTTTGGACTGCTCCCCACATTTTGGCTGCTATAAATAGTACTGCTGTGAACATTTGTGTACACATTTTCATGTGAATGTACGTTTTAGAATTGTTGGGTTGTATGGTAACTCTATGTTTAACTTTTTGAGGAACTTCCAAACTGTTTTCCAAAGGTGTTGCCCAGTTTTACATTCTCACCAAGAGTATATGAAGTTCTGCACATCCTTGCCAACATTTTTTTTATTATGTGTTTTTCTTTTTGTTGCTTGTGCTTTTAAATGGTATCGTAGCTAAGAAAGCTATCATTCTTAAGCTGAGATCATGGAGATTTACTCCTATACTTGTAAGAATTTTATGGTTTTGACTCTTACATACAGGTCCATAGTGTATTTTGAGTTGTAAGGATTATAAGGAAGGGGTCCAACTTCATTTTTTCACATGTGGATATCCGGTTGTCCCGGCATGATTTGTTGCAGAGACTATTCTCTCCCTGTTGAATCATCTTGGCATCACTGTCAAAATGCTTACTGTCTTTTCGCCCCTCTAAACTCTTACGCTCCTCATGTGAGGGAACCAGATTTGTCTTGTTTCCTAGCAAGCACCCAGTGCTTAGCATGGTGCTTGGCACATAGTAGATATTGAGTGTGTATTTGCTAAAATAAAGAATGAAGGAGGAAAGACAGCATGGGGGAAAGAGTAGAGTGAAAAAGAGGGAAGACCTAGAATCATCACGTGGGTAAAGGGGGAAAATCAGGAGTGTGGTTTAGCTGTTATGTTAAATTCCTCTATATTAATGAGTCTGTTTCTAAAACCTGTTCTCATTTTATTTTTTACAATTTATTTTTAACGTTTATTTATTTCTGAGACAGAGAGAGACAGAGTATGAATGGGGGAGGGGCAGAGAGAGAGGGAGACACAGAATCGGAAGCAGGCTCCAGGGTCTGAGCCATCAGCCCAGAGCCTGACGCGGGGCTCGAACTCACGGACCGCGAGATTGTGACCTGAGCTGAAGTCGGACGCTTAACCGACTGAGCCACCCAGGTGCCCCTACAATTTATTTTTAAAAGAGATAATATAGCCATGGTAAAAATGCAAACAGTGGAGGAAGATACAAAGCAGAAAGTTCCTCCCCACCCACCCCATCCACCACCAGTGCTGATTCCATGCTTGTCAAAGTTTTTTGTATATTCGTCTAGTAATTTATTATGCTAACACCAGCACATGTATATCCCTTTCTTTTTTTTTTTATTTTTAAAAATTGTTTTAATATGTAAAATTTAATGTGTAAGACATTCCTAATACCAACATAGAAATGTTTAAAAGATACAAAAGCCTTACTGTGACAATATCCCCTCCCTCCCGCCCCCCACCCCCTGTGTCCTGGGCCTCCGTCCAGACACAGGCTATGCGCGTCCCTGCCCAGATTTCACTCCCCTGCGACACACAGCACTCTCTCCCCATCTCATCATTTTCACTTTGGAAATCAGTGCATGTCAGCAGTGAGGGAGCTTCCTCACACTTTTAGTTGGCTGCCTCGTATTCCATACCTGAATAGATCGGCATATATTTAATTGGTGCCTTGTGGGTAGACAGTGATGTGTTCAAATGTAACGCAACTGCTAACAGTATTGCAGTGCACGTCCTGAGACAAATGCCCCTCCTATGAGTGATTGTATGGCTGCAGGATAATTTCTGGGCTGGCAGATACTGGTAGAGTGCCTTCCATCGACACCGGATCAATTCCATACTTCCTGCACCAATGTATGAGAGTACCCATCGCCCCACAACCTTGCCAACAAGAATCATGCTCCTCGACCATCTAGTAGTTGCAAATGGAACCTCAGTGGCCCTTTAACTGTATTTCTCTCATTACAAGTGAGAAGTAAGGTTGAACTTTTATTGTTGGTGGTTTAAGAGCTATTGCTTTTGCTTTCCTGCAAAGCTTTTTTTTTCTGTGTCCTCATGGCCTTTGCCGTTTTCCTATGGGTACTTGTAGGAAACGTCTATTAAAGGACATGAACACTTTTTTTTTTTTTTTTTTAATTTCTATCTAGGTTAGTTAGCAGATAGTGCAATAATGATTTCAGGAGTAGATTCCAGTGATTCATCCCCTATGTATAACACCCAGTGCTCATCCCAACAGGTGTTCCCCTTTAATGCCCCTTACCCATTTAGCCCATCCCCTCCCCACAACCACTCCAGCAACCCTCAGTTTGTTCTCTGTATTTAAGAGTCTCTTATGTTTCCCCCCCTCCTTGTTTTTATATTATTTTTGCTTCCCTTCCCTTATGTTCATCTGTTTTGTAACTTACATTCCACATATAAGTGAAGTCATATAATATTTGCCTTCCTCTGACTAATTTCGCTTAGCACAATACCCTCTAGTTCCATCCACGCTGTTGCAAATGGCAAGATTTCATTCTTTTTGATCACTGAATAATATTCCATTGTATACAGATACCACATCTTCTTTATCCATTCGTCCATCGATGGAAATTTGGGCTCTTTGCATACTTTGGCTATTGTCGATAGTGCTGCTATAAACATTGGGGTGCATGTGCCCCTTCAAAACAGCATCCCTGTATCCCTTGGATAAATACCTAGTAGTTCAATTGCTGAGTCATAGGGTAGTTCTATTTGTAACTTTTTGAGGAACCTCCATACTGTTTTCCAGAATGACTGCACAAGCTTGCATTCCCACCAGCAGTGCAAAAGATATCCTCTTTCTCTGCATCCTTGCCAATGTCTGTTGTTGCCTGAGTTGTTAATTTTAGCCATTCTGACTGGTGTGAGGTGGTATCTCATGGCGGTTTTAATTTTCAATTCTGTGATGATGAGTGATATTGAGCAGTTTTTCACGGGTCTGTGAGCCATCTGGATGTCTGCTTTGGAAAAGTGTCTATTCATGCCTTTTGTCCATTTCTTCACTGGATTATTTGTTTTTTGGGTGTTGAGTTTGATAAGTTCTGTATAGATTTTGGATACTAGCCCTTTATCTGATATGTCATTTGCAAATATCTTCTCCCATTCCGTCGGTTGCCTTTTAGTTTTGCTGATTGTTTCCTTCCCTGTGCAGAAGCTTTTTATCTTGACAAGGTTCCAGAATTCAGTTTTGCTTTTGTTTCCCTCGCTTCCGGAGACATGTTTAGTAAGAAGTTACTACAGCTGAGGTCAAAGAGGTTTTTGCCTGCTTTCTCAAAACTCTAGGATTTTGATGGCTTCCTGTGTTAGGTTTAGATCTTTCATCCATTTTGAGTTTTTTTGTGTGTATGGTGTAAGAAAGTGGTCCAGGTTCATTTTTTGCATGTCGCCGTCCAGTTTTCCCAACACCTTTTGCTGAAGAGACTGTATTCCATTGGATATTCTTCCCTGCTTTGTCAAAGATTAGTTGGCCATATGTTTGTGGGTCCATTTCTGGGTTCTCTATTCTGTTCCATTGATCTAAGTGTCTGTTTTTATGCCAGTACCATGCCGTCTTGGTGATTACAGCTTTGTAATACATCCTGAAGTTCAGGATTGTGATGCCTCCAGCTTTGGTTTTCTTTTTCAGGATTGCTTTGGCTATTCAGGGTCTTTTCTGGTTCCATACACATTTTAGGATTGTTTGTTCTAGCTCTGTGAAGAATGCTGATATTATTTTGATAGGGATTGTATTGAATATGTAGATTGTTTTGGGTAGTATTGACATTTTAACAATATTTGTTCTTCCAATCCATGAGCATGGAATGTATTTCCATTTTTTTTGTCTTTTTCAATTTTACAAGATTTCTATAGTTTTCAGCGTATAGATTTTTCACCTCTTTGTTTAGGTTTATTCCTAGGTATTTTATGGGTTTTGGTCCTTTCTTTAAAAATACAGGGGCGCCTGGGTGGCTCAGTCGGTTAAGCGTCCGACTTTGGCTTAGGTCATGATCTCACGGTCTGTGAGTTCGAGCCCCGCGTCGGGCTCTGTGCTGACAGCTCAGAGCCTGGAGCTCCTTTCAGATTCTGTGTCTCCCTCTCTCTCTGCCCTTCCCCTGTTCATGCTCTGTCTCTCTCTGTCTCAAAAATAAATAAACATTTAAAAAAAATTTAAAAAAAATTAAAAAAAATACATAGATGGGGCATCTGGGTGGCTCAGTTGGCTGAGCATCCAACTCTTGATTTCAGCTCAGGTCATGATCTCAGGATCATGAGATCAAGTCCTCCATTGGGCTCCAGGCTGAGCGTGGATCCTGCTTGGGATTCTCTCTCTCTCTCTCTCTCTCTCTCTCTCTCTCTCTCTCTCCCTGCCCCCACCACGACTCCTCCCCTGCTCCTACCTGCATGTTCTCTCTCTAAAATAAATTAAAAAATGCATAGATAGAATAATATTCACTTTGTTTTATTCATGTCGTTGGTTCCTTAGAGTCCATCTAAGGACTGGCATTCCTTCCCTAATAGCACTTATAACCCTTCCTCATTCTTTTTAACACCCACATAGTATTCTGCTGTAGGACATACTGGAAATGATTTATCTTGTTCCCTGTTTAGTGACATGCAGAACAGTTTGGTTAATAGTTTGGTTCTGACAGGAAAGAGCCCAGTTGGGAAAAATGACTTGAAATTGTGATTTTTGAAATGTGTGATTATCTTTATTTTTATTTCTAAAAATAATTTACACAACGGTGTAAAAATATGTTTTCTTATATTAGTATCTGAAATCTTAAAATGAATCTGGAATAAATCAAATTTATCCATTTATTGTTTGAAACTTAAAAAAAAAAAAGCCCTTCTCTTATTCCTAGGATGTCTCAGAGCATCCTAGAGTCATTTTAGGAATTAAAATGGACTCTGAATAAAAACCCAGTGCTCTTTGAAATGACCTTGTATTTAAGCATTTCTTTAATTTGAAAACCTTGTTGAGGGTCGTGTGTTATTTGCTCTTTTGTAGGCCAGCTTTAATGACCATCACTGATGGAGTACATAAGGTGTGCGTCCATGTAGGATCAGAGCTGATTGAGAAGATGCTACTCAACATTTCTCCTGACTGGCTCAGCAGAGTTGTCGGTAAGGTATCAACACGCCGTCCAGGGGCTGCTGTTGGTGAGACCATTCATTTCAGGGGTGTCCACAGTATACTGGAGCAGAAAGAACACTATGCTGTAAATTAAGGTCTTTTTTCTATCCATGTAAAAAGGAAACAAAGGGGACGTCAGTTGGAAGATAAGACCTGCCCCTCTCCCCGCAGTAGGGCACCCCTGATGGTCTTGATCCTGGGCGGTTTCCTGCTCCTCCCCCAGGAATGGGGGGATTTTTCTTTCACCTTCCCCGCCCCTCTCCCATCTTCAGCACTGGAGCAGTAGGATTTGCCGGTCCCTGCTGGAGCACTTTAAGGTTCTTGTTCCTTAAAGGAGGGCGGAGGGGTCCTGGGTGGGGGGTGGTTTGTGTTTTCCTTGTGGCCGCTTCTCCCCTTCTCCTGGCCTCACCAGGTTGGAAGCTTTCTCTCTGTCCTGCCCTCAGTCCAGGCTTGTGAGCACCTGGTAGGGACGAGAAGCACAGTTGAGGGTACGGACTCCCCTCGCCTGTGCACTGGCCTACACTTGGCTTTTAGCAAGTCATTCAAATTGTAGCTCACCTGTTCTGTCCCCGCTCACTTCGATGGGTGTGGCTGTCTCACTGCCTCTGCCTTCTTAGCGGCTCAATAAATTGTGATTTTGTAGTTTCTTCAGTTTTCCTAATAATTGTTAAGGTTGGAGCCATGTTCTTTCCAGCTTTTCACATCCTAACTGGAAGGCTCTCTGTTCTTTTTTTATTCACTGTCTTTATTAACTTGCATTCTTTTGGCTCTTTCAGGCCTTCTCTCAAGGTTGTTTGTTGTATTTTCAGTCTTGTCCCTTCATTTTAGGCACAATACCAGTTAGTCTTCGTTTCTCACAGAAGCACCATCATCCTCAGATCAAATATATGTCTGTTTTGCCCACAGAGTCAAAGTTGTCCTTCCTGGCATTAATTAAATTGTAACCCTAAGGGAACATGTGGGTACCAATTCTAAAGTGGTCATCAGACCATTCAAATGATCACTAATCTTGACTTCTTTTAAGCTTATCCAAGTGAAAATACAAAACAAAAAAAAACAAAAAAAAAAAAAAAAGAAAGAAAGAAAGAAAGAAAGAAAGAAAAGTATCATTAAGAGAATTCTCTCACTTCCAAAAATTTGTGATTGGCTGCCCACGAGTCTGTAGACCCGATCCAAGAAAGGCTGGTGGTGTTGGTCAGGGAGCGAGTGTAGCTTGACATGTGCCTGGTCAGTCTAGTATGGAGGCACCCCGCTCAATAACTGGATTTGGTGTCCTAAAAAAATAAAAGGAAGCCTATAGGACAAGTGCAAACATAGAGTGACATAGCTATATCTATAGTTTCAGTATTTTTGTGTTATGAAGATTTGATGCTCATTGCATAGCTGCTTCAGGGTTTTGTTATATAAATTTATACATATGATAAGCGCTGTAGACTGGATAAATAAGAGTTCTTTTCTGACCCGGACACACTCTTTTTGTCTCAGACTTGACTTAAGAAGATGTTAATGTCCGCTCTTTCCACTGTTGTTTTAAGAAGCCCTTAGCTGTGCCGAGTAGAACTGCCGTCAGTCTGAACAGCCTGTCCTGAACTGTGGGTCATCAATTCTAGAGTATCCTCAGCGCCCATGACTAGAAGGAGAAGGGGTAGAAAGAGAACTAACTGTAAAGTGGGTTCGGGGCTTGAGAAACCAAGGGGAACAGTGAACCCTTAGCCCTGTGCGTTTCCGTCGCCCGGAAGGGACGCTGAGGCTGTGCGCGTTTCCTTGTTCCGCAGCCCCTTCGTCAGAGGTCACCTACGGCATGGTCGCCGCAGACCTGTTCCACGCGCTGCTGGCAGGCAGAGGGGCGCCTTGTGCGGTGAAGCTGCAGAGCCTCTTTGTGCTGGATGAAAACAGCTTCCCCTTGCAGCAAGAGTTCTCCCTCCTGGATGTCTATCCGGACGGCACAAAGCCCGAGCCCAGTGCCCTTCTCTGAGGCCACGTGAGGAAATCGCAGGTACTTCAAGGAGGACCGCTGGAATGATTTGTGTCTTGAAATGAATGTCTGGCAGGGCTTTTCCTTGGGTTTTGAAAAAAAAAAAAAAAATTTTTTTTTTTTTTTTTTAAAAAGAAATATTTTTTTGATAAACATATAAATTTTTTTTTTTTTTAAAAAAATTTTTTGGGGGGTTTTTTTTTTGGTTTTTAAAAAAAAAAAAAAAAAATTTTTTTTTTTTTTTAATAAAGAGAATTGTGTTCAATATATAAATTGAGAGTTTTTTTTCCAAGAGAATTCTG